TGATGTCATTGTCCGTTCTCATGGATAAACATGAGTTATTCATGACATTGCCCCTAACCCTCCTAGGAATAAAAATGACGCGGACTGTCGACACCTCACTCTACATGTACACCGTACCAATTTTCCCCCGCCCATTCAAACGTGAGGCGGCCCACCTCGCTACTTTCAGTGACCACCTCGCTCAATTTATGCCAATATCACCACCTCGCTGTCAAGATTGGCAGTAAAGAGAAAACTAACTGCAAAAGTTTCATTGTGTGTGATTAATGAGCCTTTTCCTTGACCTCTATGTATCAAGAACTGACAAGTGTGTAGAGGGAATCATCGCGCATTTTTTAGAGCGCTCAGCGCTGCGTTCTTTTCAGTTTGCAGATTGCGTAAATTTTGTTTCAAACATCAATTTGAATTTTTACCACCTCGCTCAGTACGTTATAGCCAGGGGAAACTCTGCACATGTACTTGTATAACACAGATGAAAATCAAGTGGATTCTGCCACTGAAGCAGATACATGTAGATGCAGGTGGTGTTTTTTTTAAGAGGTTGTGGAATGCTCGAAAACCTTTCCGTCATTTTTCGGGTATACATGTATATGTAGCCTAAGGTGTGATGAAATAAAAAAAACGACTATTATTTCTGTCATGAAATGAGTACAAAAGGTACTTAAATTGAGAGCTGTTTTTCAGGTCCTGTTTCGACCCGAACGTGCAATTTGTGCAAAAGTCGTCGTTGGGGGCAGCAAACAAAACATAGTAAATTGTGATGTAAAACAAGACTCGTTTATACTACACTGCATAGGGAGTCCTGTTTATTACGTCACGATTTACTATGTTTTGTTTGCTACCCCCAACGACGACTTTTACACAAATTGCACATTCAGGTCGAAACAGGACCTGAAAAACAGCTCTCAAAAGTACCTTTTGTACTCATTTCATGACAGACACAATAGTCGTTTTTATTTCATCACACCTTAGGCTACATATACCCGAAAAATGACGGAAATGTCTTCGAGCATTCCACAACCTCTTTAACTTTGCATGCTCTGAGGAGAAGGAGTGGGCGGGGCATAGGGGTGTACAATGCTCAGGTGTAATATTTGGGGAAGTCACAAAGATTTGCCTCATTTATAGACAAGGCTATTGGCATACGGTTCATAGCATGAACATGTTAATGTACCAATTCATGTACTCGTGTACACGGTAAGTTTGTGAGTTACAAATGTACTGAAGTCAACACTACATGTGAACGTTCGCCTCTTTGCGACAAACATGCATTGTATTTGTTCATGAGCATTACAGTTCTCAGGCCTGCAAGGCGTCATGAGATTACCGGCTCATGTGACGGGGATTATAGGCAGTCTGTCTAGAATGTTCTTTGACTGCATGTACACCGGGTACATGTACATGTAAATCAATATGTACGTACATGTATGTACCGGTGCGATCTACATGTATGTGACGTACATTGGAATGAATTCATACCTCTCGGTACAATCACAACAATTCAGAATTACATATGACAAGAAACATACATATAGGGGACCACTTTGCATCCGTCGTGTTAGCAGTTTTATCCAATGGTTGTAATGTTTTTTTTACATACCTGAAACCACCCAAAAAGTTTTTGAAATGTGAATGGACATGCAGGCTTAAAATACATCATGTAATATGTGTTGAATCATTTCTTTCTTTCTTTTTTAATTTTTAAAATCACCCTCAAATTTCCATCAAAAATGGACGGAAAAAGTTACCTATGTTTTCCGTCCATTATTTGATGGAAAGTTGAGGATAATGTCAAAAGGCAATATAAATAATCAACTCAAATATCTTAAGCAAAAGGCTGCATGTCCATTCGTGTGTTGAAATTCTTCTTTGGTGGTTTCGGGTATTTAACGAAAAATCACAACCATTGAAAAGACTGCTAACGTGACGGTAGCAAAGTGGCCCCCTTTACTGTGTTTCTTGTCATATATGTGTGTGGACAGAAATATGTTTTGCACCGGTACAATGTGCAAGTCTTAAACCCTAAAGATTGAAATTCAAGCAAACCACCGGCAAACGGAACTTAAATCTGTCCAAATCCAATAACGAAGCCTGAATCTGCCAAAAATATAGTGCATGTAGTCAAACCTACTCACTGTTTACATGTACCGGTACATTGTTAAAATCACGTTAATTCAAGGAAATGTAAAAGGGAAAGTATCTTACCTCCACCTTTTTTCACACATGTAATCTCAATGACCATTTGTCAATCTTTGCAAAGGTTTTTGAAAAAAAAAAAAAATAACAAACAACAAATTAAATTAAGGACTTATTCATACCATACGGGTACCTTGCGCAAATACAATGTACAGATTAATTATTTAACCCTAACCGCCCTGAATCCTCAAAAATCCTTTTTGCAAATTGGAGGAATTTGCAGGATTGAGGTTATGGCAAAAGTGCGTTGCTGATTTCGGAGTACGCAATGTGTCAAGGTCTTGGGCCGGACCTTGTGTTGTTTATGCTCAGCCGTGCACACAATTTTAGTCCTTGATTATACTTGACATCCTCCGCACTGCTCCAGGATGTCACTGCCTCTGCCTCAGCCTATTGACAGACATAGCCGGAGGATTTTGCTGGATTCAGGCAGTGGTCACCCCTCCATTGACCATATTCAAGAAATAATGGAGGAATTTGCAGGATTGAGGCTATGTGCTATTTTTCCATGAGGCCAATCGGAGGATTTTGCAGGATTCAGGCAGTGGTCACCCCTCCACGGACCATGTTCAAGAAATAGCGGAGGAATTTGCAGGACTGAGGCTATGTATGCTATTTTTTTATGAGGCCAATTGGAGGATTTTGCAGGATTGAGGCTACATCCTAGCAAAAAGGCCTAGGGAGTTAGGGTTAAAGTTGACTTACGGGTATAGTGATGGCAAAAGTTGAATACTGCAAATTTCACCGGGGAATGTTTCTTGATGTCAAAGTCACTTTGTATTCACATACATAAGTATGAATCAGACTTTAAAGAGAGTAGCCATTATAATTTCCTGACTCGCCATGCATGCCATTGACTTTGTATATACCGGTAGCTAACAAAATGGCGTCAGAATACCGCGTTCCTTCTCCCTGTTGCCCGAGGCTAGGTACATGCACATGCACATCAAGGAGGATGGCAGTGATTGGGATGCAGGAGATGATTCTTGTCATCATTCGCTGTGTCAGCAGCCTAAGATCGAGTAATTAGGAAAGATCAGGAATAATTCAGGAGGGCAAATTACGGGGGGCAGGCATGGCAGGGGGCGGGAACCTCCAAAATTCTGTTTACCTAGCACTCTCCCTTTCCAGTCAACTACAATGTAATAACTTGTATCTCTTCTCTGCATGTAATTTATTTATTTATTTCTTATTTTGTCTGGGTAGCCCATTCAGTGGAATCCACTGATCTCCCATGGGTCCCAGTATTAAGAGAAGACAATGTGAAGAAATTACAGTTTTAGAGGTGGGAGGAAAAGCCCAGAAGAGTAATCTGAGGGAAAACGCACGGAATCAGGTAGGGACTGAAAACCTAATCCACATATTGGCCCAGGCGGGATTCGAACCCGGGTCACAGCGATGGAAGGCGAGGAAAGTACCACTACGCCAACCTGACTCCCCAAATACACTTGTGTGATTCTCAGTTCAAATTCCAGCTACTGTTTATTGAGAGATGTTAACAAAATTGCCCTTCATGTTTTGTGTAATTACAGCTTTTAAACATAATATTTTAATTTACATGAAGAAAAAATAGAGATGAAATTGACTTTATGAGATTTGACTTATGTGATTTGACTCTGATTAGACTTCAATGTGATTTGACTCATTAGTGATTCGTGTTATAATAGATTGCATTGTAAAATCAAATAAGGTAAAGAAAAGAAAATGTACATTATGTCAACAGTAGGCTTTGTGCTTTAATCTGAGCTGTACATGTACATGTAATTTCATTGAATTATAACAAAATAATTTAGCATTTAATTAAAAAAAACATCCTCTCTGAGTGATCCCCATTTGCTGTTACCCAGCATTGCTACCGGTAATGACGCCAGCGCATCGTGACTTTGAGCAGGATTCCTGGCTGCATGGCTTATACAAATAAAGGGCACGAACCTGTGTTCACGGGAACGGAGTGCCCATCTCTCTTTCATTAGCGATTGGTCCAGACTCATATGCTGCTGTGGGGGGATCGCCACACCTCCTCCACAGCGAGTCTGTTACCTTCCCAGCATTGAATAATGCCGGTACCCATTTACCACCTGGGTTGAGAGGAGTAATTGAGGTAAAGCGCCTTTCTCAAGGGCACAACGCGCATGGCCACGGCGGGGCTCGAACCCACAACCTCACGATCATGAATCCTGTGCTCTACCGCTAGACCACACGTGCCCACATGAAAACAGTCACTTGCTTGATTATGGCATGGCTTATGGCTGCTGATTAGCGCTCCTTGATGAACAAAGACATTGACGTGTAATGGGGAACCACCAACATAGGAATGGATAGCTCAGTTGGTTGATTACGTTGTTCAACTTACGTTTTTGTAAAACATAAACCCTCCTCTGCTTACATACTTTATGTTTACATTTTGTGCCAAGTTGTCCTTTCACTTCAGTCAAAATCAAGCAAGTGACTGTTTTCAACAGTTAAGACCTCCCAGCCCACATAAGGCAGGATTGACTGGCTGTGACTGTTTATGTAACTTGGTGCTTTTACTATAGGCGATTGATAAGCCAGCTGTGCCTACCACTTGCCTGTTCTTTGTCTGTTGAATGAATTTAGTCACAGTGTTTGCTTGAAATATGATCTGGCTGTGGGTGACTAGACTGTGTAAAAAACATAGCAGGGGACGAGGATTGAATTTTTTTTGTGGACTGTCTGTGACTGTTCAGATAGCAGGAGGATTAATTGGCCTACATTGTGCATGTACCGGTAAGGTCTCATCAATCTCATTATTCCTTGTCGTTTGTCACTTCCCTTACCTGCAGGTGTACAGCGATCTGGAGGTCAACAACATCGAAGATTCCAATGAGGAGGTTGAGATCAGCCACTGGTGTCCCATGGATGCCCCAGACATACCCGAAGGATGCACCGAGACGTTCACTGTCCTCACCTACACGTGTCTGGGTAAAAACTTCCTCCCCGTTTCCTGAGCTGTGGCTTGTAGGGGTTGGGAGGGGAGGGGAGGGGTGGGCACCAGGGTGACCGTTTAAGCCGATTTTCTGATTTTTTTTGGCAGATTTCTGGCATAATTCTGCAACAATGGTTATTTGACAGAAAAAACAGCAAATTTCAACAAAAAAAAGTGTACATTTGTTTAAGAAAGCTTCAATCCTTTCAAAGAAACCCTTGCATAATGGTACAGGTTGGCTGGTCTACGTGTAGGTGCTGAGGCTCACTGGGACACGGACTTCGTCGTGGCCGCGATCCGCGTTTTGCCCGAAATTTACCAATAATTTCACAACATCTTTATGTGACTAGATTGTTTATTATGTAATTTGAATCTTAATTTAGGCAGTACTACCAATCTGCACGTGATTTAAGTGTTTATAGTGTATTTCGAGTAATTCTGGGGAATTTGGCAGATTTTTGATAAATCTGACAGATTTTTGATAGGCCTACATGTGCATTTAGCAGAAATTGGCTCTGACCTTACGGTCACCCTGGTGGGCACCACTCAAGTAGCACAGCCAGAATAAGGCCGTATGGCTGTGGCTTGCAATAGTTCCCATTGGCACATGCACCACTGCCAGGCTAAGCCATGCACTTTGGATGTGGCTAAAGTCTACTTGTTTGTTGACAGGGCCACTCAACATCTAAGTAAGAAATTGTAGAGGAACCACAGCAGCATACTGAGTTGAATTGGGTTAAGCTTGGAGACTGAAAGATATGGGCGAGACTGAATTTCCTTTGTTAGCGGCATCAGGAAATACAGTGATCCAGGTGTTCAAACCGGTGTTTCTTGAGATAGATTGAAAAAGTAAATGTCTCTGTACCACCAATGAAATGCTAGATTCTGGGTGGCTGTCACCTGTCCAGCTTACAATAAAGTCGTGAGATTAAATACTGGTATGGAGCTCATCATACATGTAATTGAACAATATGATTCTGTTACTCGGCAAATCCATGCACTACCAGCACTTCAGAATCAGCTGAGAGTTTCGAGTTTATACCTCTGGTTCTTTTCAGAACCATTAAACTCTTAGTTGAGAAATTATTCCCACATGGTGTTTCCGCAAACCTTTCATTATTTAGTATCTCCACCAAGCAAAGCCTCAAATCTTACTTATCAGCTGAGAATTAGTCAGAAGCACGTTTTGGCCTCTAGTCTGATTCACTATTACCTCATCCATATTCATGATCGAGAGCAGAGTTCTCACTGGTCCACTCACCGTCATGTGTCAGCCGCTGTAGTTTTGCTGTTTACCAAGCGCGCATGTGAGGTTTCACGCACAGGTTTCACACATCCATAGCAGACTATTGTAAATGTTACAGTGCGCTAGTTCATTACGCATGCGCTCTACGAAGCAATCGTGGAAGTAGTGCGTAGGCGCGAACATCGCCCTAGCAGCATGCAGCAGCTACATGAAGAGATGGGGCACAAGTACGAAAACATTTTGCCGAGAAAAGTATGCTGAACTTGATGAAATGTTTGTGAATACATGTATGTACTGTAGGCCTGCATGTGCGAGGTATAGTAAAACAAATAAAACATGGTTTAGTCGGTGTGTATAGTCGATACAAGCTCCCCTCGGTATTGAAAATAGACTAGTTCCCTTTGCTCAACTTCCAATACCTCGGGGAGCTAATATCGACTATCAACCCTCAAACCATGTTTTATTTGTATGAAACCATTTTTTTTTCTTGTGCTGAGCAACTTTTTCAGCTGAAGAACTCCACAAATTATTAAAACGGACTCTCTCGGTAAAAGGTTGTCGGAAAGTATGGGGGCTATTAAAATCAGTGATTTAGGGCAAGTCGTGAATTTACGTCTTGAATTTTGATATCAATATTGGTGATTTACGATGTCCCTTCACGGCCACCATACTGTGTCCCTCCACTTTCATAAAGATTCAGCCGCCATTGACTATGGTTAACCATGTAATTCCCGCCCAAATTTGTTCAAAGAAACCATTTTGTTTATCCTCACAGTTGGTGATTTTGAGAGCAAAGCACTCATGGTGCCAAAGGGCTGTGGCTTTGAGCACATCCACGACAGCGAGTCTTGCAAACCTAAGAGTGAACTCCACAGCTTGGCTGACAAGCAGTGCGCTGCCACTGACAAGATAGTCCGGGATTACGGCATGTTGCTGCCTTGTAGAGACGAGGTGGATCTCTTCACTGGGGTGGAGTTTGTCTGCTGCCCGCCGCGGCCCAAGCCAGTCCCAGCTGCGGAAGTTCCAGAAGGTGGTTTTTGTTTTTCTTTATTTTTTTGTTGTTGGAGGGGTTTGTTTGTTTGTTTATTTGTTAAGGTTTGTTCGATTGTGTTTTTCTTTTGTTTGTTTCCATTCATGTTTTCGTGTTGTTTTGTTGTCTTATCAAACCAAAGCATTTGCAATGTGGTAAAAATAACAAATTCTGGACATCAGTTTAGTTTTAAACTCAAATACACTTTACCTGCCACTTGGACGTTTGCTTCCAATAAACACTCTTTAACCCTAACCCCCTACATGCCCTAGGCCCTTTTTGCTAAAAACCATCCTCAATCCTCCAAAATCCTCCAAAATGTTGCAACAGCACCTAAATTCTTCAAAATTGTCAGACAGTCCTGCCTCAAAATGCATTCATCGTCAATCCTCCAAAATCCTCCTCATCCCAAAATTTTGCACTCATGTTTAAATAAAACAACCAACGCCTAAATCCTTCAAAATCATCAGACAGTCCTGCCTCAAAATGCATTCATCCTCAATCCTCCAACATCATCCTCATCTTCAAACACCATTCATCCTCAATCCTCCAAAATCATCCTATGCTTCAATCACCATTCATCCTCAATCCTCTGAAATCCTCATGTGATTCAATCACCATTCATCCTCAATCCTCTAGAATCCTCCAAAACCGCCAGGAGGATTTTGGAGGAGTGAGGAGGGTTGGGGTTAATGTTTGAAAGCATTGTTTTAAATGCTCTTCAAATGTTTTTTGCTGTGTGTTCATTTTGGTGGGCAGGTTGAAGTTAAACAGAACATGGAAATCGTTATTCTTAATCTGTAGCCACTGCCGACAAGTCAATACCTACAACAACTTCCACACCCAGCTAGTCACTCCGTCCCTCCAAAACAAATCTTTGAAAAACAGTATCTACAACACGAAACAGACAGCACAGCCTTTAAACAAACTGTTCAAGAATAAAAGGTTTACCCAATGTTTTGCCTGTATGCCTACATGTACATAAATAATGAAAGGTTTGCGGAAACACCATGTGCGAATAATATCTCAACTAAGGGAATGGTTCTGAAAAGAACCAGAGGTATCAGAACCATTCTCTTAGTTGAGAAATTATTCGCACATGGTGTTTCCGCAAACCTTTCATTATTTAGTATCTCCACCACGCGAAGCCTCAAATCTTACTTACATGTACATAATTGCTTACCATTTACACTATTTCTGACACCACACAGACATGATGTAAATTGCAAAAAAGCATCAGTTTGATATAAATTTCGTCACCCGATATTTGTTCAATTCCTAAACCGAAGCCCTGTCAGGGTTAGCTGTCAAAATCAGGACATCTTTCGCAAGAACATGACGAAACGCAAACTTGGCTTTTGCTAAGCCCTCAATTAAGTGCATCCAGTGAAAATCATACAGGAACACTCTGCATAGCTGACATGTTACAATCAGCCGTATCAGATTACAAGCAGGAAGCAATGATTTTGGTCTACGGTGACGTCTGAGTATTCTGCTCCTGTCAACGAGGTGTTGAACAAACCCCGGCCTCCACGGAGTTATTCTGGAGGGAAATTATGTCCCGCGGTCCGCTCACCGCTGCCGATATCGCATAACACGCTTTTTATTTGACCAGTGGCGGCGAGGCTTAGTGGCAGTAAATTCTGTCCTCTGTTTGTCATGTTTGTGGACAGCATTTTGCTCGAGGTGATTTTACGAGAAAGCGATTTCAGGACTTGTGGTTTTATCGGATTAGAGCAAATTTCCTGCTTCAATTGGGAAGAAAATAGATTACGATGCTGGCTATTTTCATTGGGCCTAGAGTATACATGAACGATAGTTGTTTCAGGTTAGCTGAATAATGCTATTTATATTCAGACTTACTTGTTCTTCACATGGTGTTCAGTTGACATGCATAATATTTTTTCCAGGGGGGGGGGGGGGGCAGTACATGTACGGTACAGTGGAGCGCCGCTATAACGAACATCGTGGGATCCACAGAAAGTGTTCGTAATTAATGATAGTTCAGTATAGCGATTGAACCGCCGGTACCCTCTGTTGACCGAGAGTGAACTGGCATTTGTCACATCCCGCGGCCGCACGAGGAGTCGGAAACTTGAGCAATGGGTGGTTTTCCCTTTTATTCCTTGGGGAAGAAATTGCAATCTATCGCTCTTCAACATTCAAACACGATGTAACTATGGGTCGTTTGATGTTCGGGAAAATTTACAAGTGGCCCAGATAGTGTTAAATGTACAACCGGTACATATTTTGTTAATCTGTTGACTTTTTTCAACAACAATGTCCGGTACGTTTTGTACATTAAAACCGGGAGCCAAGGATGATGTTCGGTATAGCCGAATGTTCGGTATAGCAGCGTTCCACTATCATGACTGTACTGTGTTTTACTGTGAACACAGTACAATTCCACTGTACTGTATTCATATTAATGTGGAACACTTCCGTTTCCAATCTTGATCCCATGTGGCGGTTCTGCAATTTCCATCTTGACTTGGTAACAGCGAATAGCATCCATGCCGTCCAATGACATGTCTGTTTGACAGTAGTCCTTAGGCTTCATGTAAAGCTGTATGGCATCAAGCAGAAGTCAGTTCCCACAGGAAATCAAATTAGACAGATGTTAAACTGCTCAGCAGTTTTTGACAGGAGTCATGTCATGCGGGATAGGCGTTGCTGGCATTGCACTTGGCGCATCCTTGTTCTTCCTTCGATCATCGTTGAATGATCCAATAAGAATGATGACATGTCAAAGACATTAAAGTTACCTTAAAATAGGCACAGCGTATTTCTGTCCGTTAGGGTGTGCCTGAAAAATTTAATCCAGGTATTAAAATGATTCAGTGAGCTTAACAGTGCCAAAGGCTTTGATAAGTTTAGCAAAACACAGTAAAGCAGACTTCTTTTTCAGTGCCCGTGAAATTTGAAAAGTTTTACCCTAAAGTACCCAACTTCAAGCGTTTTTTTTTAATTGTTCAAAATTCTGTAAAAAAAAAAGTAAATAAGTTTTACTCACTAAATTTGTTGTTGTTGCTCTCTGGCATATCCTTGGTACATTGAAAAGTCAATAGTAGTCATGTACATAGTGATACACCCTGAAACATTGTCCTGCACACAGGGGAATTCCATACTTTTTGCAGAAAATACGAGTGTCAGTGCTGTGCCCTCTCGCAAGAACTCGAATGAAACAAACAAATACAGGTCATAGCTGAATGAAAATGATATTATTAGAAAGAGCGAGAGCGCCCCCTTGTGATAACATGCTTACTCTACCTTGTACATGTACGAGGTTTGGTGATTTTAAGTACGAACATTACCTCGTACATGTACGACTTTGGCACTGAAAGAGTTAATTGTCAGAATTGAATTCTTCAAACTGTTTATCAATTTTATCAATTTCCCCTTGCACCACAGAGGTGGAGCAAGCCCCGCCAAAGCCTCACGCAGCTGAACCCAAACCTGACGTGGAGCCAGTGAAACCCGTCGAGCCTGTGGAAGAGCAAGCTCCCGAGACAGACCCAGAGGTACAAGCCCAGACGGACCCCATACCAGATGACCCCTACTTCCACCAGCTCCCCGAGGATGAGGAGGAGAGAGATGCTTATGAGGATGCCAAGCAACGTCTTGAAGAACAAGAGGATCATAAGAGAACACAGGTCTGTATCCTCCCACGGTGATGTAAGGGGGACGAACCTGTGTTCACAGGAACGGAATGCCCATGGGCAATTCCACTGTTACTCATGTTACATTTTTGATGTACTTTTGAGTTTCCTTGGGCTGTAATTACCTTACTGAAAAGGTTTAATAACTGTTATCCCCATGGTAGATAGAGTAGACCTAGACCTACCTAAGCACCAAAGATGACATCCAGAAAAATGTGTTATGTATGATAAACTAGACGCACAAAATTGGTTGCTCATGTTACATTTTCGTAACGCGAGTAACTGTGGAATTGCCCCCATCTCTCTTTCGAAGCGATTGGGCCAGACTCGAGTCCATGAAATGCTGCTGTGGGGGGATCGCCAATGTTGATGTAAAGGTCAAAGACCTAGTCTGTAGGGCTCTGACCTGCGTGGCCCAGCCTTAATCCAGGTACTGGAAAGTCAGCGTCACCATTGTAGTAGGCAAAGATTGTATAGCGCCGCCCGCAGTAGGTAGTAGGCAAGCCTTCAAAAACTGTTTCAAAAATTGTGAGAAGAATGCAGAGCCTGTGCTGGGTCGGTACAATGATGACAACTTTACATGGCACAGGTGGTGGCCATTATGGCATTTGATAAAGAATTCATGGTTATTTTAAAGCTATAGTCCATCATTTTCAGCTATCCGAAAAGTAACTGGCATGATTATTGTTAAAAAACATACTTGGTTGAAAGATAGTAAGGGGACTAAACTCCCTGTGAAATTATTCTTTCTGGCAAGCTGTCATTTTGAAGTAATCAACAAAAGAAGGCCTTTCCAACTGTGCTTCTTAAGCATGTTAAGACGTAGGAAATTGAAATTAGTAGTTTGTTTTGTTATTCGGCGAAGCGCACGCAAGCATTGGCACGACGCACACGTGGTTGCTATAATTCGTCGGATCAGTGCGCGACATCGCGTAGCTGCAATCGGCTCAGTGAGTACGTGTCTCATACACTGAATTCAGGCCCAATTCAAAACATGATTCAGCAACTTTTGATTTGAAATTGAGATCCTAGAATGCTGTTTTTCTCGGAATGTACAGCTGAAGCTGAGCTAAAACTTCATCAGGTTAGTTGTTCAGTACCCTTCTTTAGATCTTGAGCACTTTTGTTGTGTCAAACGAACAAAATGCACAAATTACAAATGATGGACTATATCTTTAATATGTGAAACTAAGTCCTACTGCAATAGTGGCCCGAGCTACAAGCAATAAGGAGGTCCTTTCCGTAACCTTTCCCTAACCCTAATCTTACCATTTCCATCTTCAACTGTTCTCAGTCCCCTGCCACACATGAGTCATGGCAGTTTGAATACTTCCCTGGTTCATAATTGAACTCCAAACAACATTATCCAGTGTCAATAAAGCTGAATTCCTGAGGTAGTAGAGACCATTTCCTCAATGGCAGCTAGAGTTAATGGTGGTGGGGTAGGAGTCACTGGTATTTTTAGACTCTTTTTTCCTGCAGTCACGGCAGTACATCTACAGGGGTGTGAAATCTCAGCTTTAAAGCCGATTTCAGCTTAAATAATAATAATAATATTGGACATTTATAAAGCGCAAACATATCCACCGTGAGGTGCTCAAGGCGCTATACATAATTTTATACAAGCAAAACAGCAGCAAAAGTAGGTAAACAAAATCAATATGAATTAATAAACAAACTAAACAAGGTAAGGTAAGCAACGGAAGAGCAGAACAACAAAGTAAACATAAATGCAAGGGATTACTTGAAAGCTGACGACATGAGGTGAGTTTTGAGAGCTGTTTTGAAGGACTGGATGGTTTCTGAGGTTTTGATGTGAATAGGTAGCGGATTCCACAGACGAGGTGCTGCTACAGAGCACCTCGTCTGTGGAATCGGCTACCTATTCACATCAAAACCTCAGAAACCTTTTTTTGTTTTGGATTTCAGCTTTTTTCCCCTCACTTGATGTGTACGAAAGTGTAGGAGATTTCCAAAGTTCAGCTTTTTACACCTTTTTCAGCTGTTTTCAGCTATTTTTATCAGTGGTCACTCACACCCTTGATCTACATGTGGGTCATGTCATTCTTCATTTCATTGATATTGACTTCAACCCATTGAAATTTAAGAAATAGACGGCGTTACCTGTGGCAAAGTAGGAATAGACAACAAAACCAAATTCATGAAGAATTCAGGCGAATCACGATGCAGTGCGCCACCAAGAGTTGGCCACGGAGAGTTCATTTTCCCCATTGCATTGTGGGAGAAAGTCGACAAATTCGCAGCGCAGGGCATTTGAAATTGCTTGTTTTTCCGGTCAGTAGTTTCGTAAGCGTATGATTCCAGTATCTGTTTGCCCTTTTCCTTTCTTGTTATCAATGTGGTGTGTTTTGTAAGGCAGCAGAACGCTATGCCACAATCTATAACATATTAGCCCAAGTTGTCTGCTGACATTTATTCAAATGGGCCATGATGTGTCGACCGTAAACTTCGACTGAAATAATGGACTCTCCATTGCAAACTCTTGGTGGCGCACTGCCTGTGAATCGCCCGAATTGATCGTATGTGTAAGGTGCATAGTGTGCTTACCTGAATAGCATGAAGTATGGGTACATTTGTAACTAACTTTTCAGCTATAGTAAATGTGTCTCCACTGTTCACATGCCGAGTCCATGGAGTTATAGCTTGCATTTTACTTCATAAGGGTTAAATAATGACAGGTTTGTGGAAACACCATGTGGGAATAATTTCTCAACTCAGAGAATGGTTCTGAAAAGAACCAGAGGCATAAACTTGACGTTCATGTCAGTATGCTCTGACCGTCTTGAGGAGACGGTCAGAGCATACTGACCGGAACGTCGAGTTTATACCTCTGGTTCTTTTCAGAACCATTCTATTAATTGAGAAATTATTCGCACATGGTGTTTCCGCAAACCTTTCATTATTTAGTATCTCCACCCAGCAAAGCCTCAAATCTTACTTACATAAGGGTTGCTCTACTGGGTCTACATGTATGTGAGATTGCGAGTCACACGTCTCAATGGTGCGTCTGTCTTGCTCTCTGTGCAGGTGATGCAGCAATGGCAGGAGGCACAGGACCAGTATGCTGCCCTCAAGAAGACTGATCCAAAAGGAGCTGAAGCTATGAAGAAAGGCATGATGGCAGTAAGTATCCCCCCCCCCCCCTTAAAAACAAACTCAGCCACTCCCCTCAATCTCCACCTCCCCTTTCCGATGAGAACGAGGCTACAAAAAAGGCAAAGTAAGCTCTCCCTCCCCCCTCCCCCCTCGAAAAAAAATTAAAAACAACTCTGGCCCCTCGCCTTTCCAATGGCGCTCAAGCTCTGAAGAAAGGCGTGATGGCAGTAAGTACCCCCACACCTCCCAAAACAAACTCGGCTACTCCCCCTGAATCGCCACATCCCCTTTTTGATGGGAATGAGGCTACTAAAAAAGGCGAAGTGGCTTAAGATCTCCCCTCCCCCCCACAAATTCTGGCCCCTCGCCTCCCCAATGGAGCTCAAGCTTTGAAGAACGGCACGGAGGATGTAAATTTCCACCCTATAACAACAAACTAGTCCCTCCCCCTGAATCGCCCCATCCTATCCCCAGTGGAGATAAAGCTGTATAGTGAGGCATGTTGGCTGAAAATCCCCCCCCCCTACTAAAACCCTGCTCCCTGCCCAGCCCTACCCCCTCCTTCCCTCCAATGGAAATATTAAGACAGGTGTTAAGGCTGTAATTACCCACACCCCCAAACAGTGCCCCTCCCACCCCCTCCTCTCCCCAATAAAACTGAAGCTGCCAAAAAAAGGCACCTTAAGATACAGTACAGGCAAACACCTGAACTCGACCCTGAGCAAGCACAGGCCTGGCGGACATTTCAAGGTTTTCCGACTTAAGAATCGTTATCATCTCCTCTATAAAACAAAAGCTTCCTGCCCTCAGACTCCCAGCGGGGGAATCATTTCCCAGATCTGACCCAAGGAATGTGAGTCACTCACGTAACCATTCACATTTCTTGCTGATCACAGAACAGCAAAGTACCAGTCTCAAGCATGATGGCATGGTATTTTCACTGGTAACCTGACAAAAAGCTTGGTAACTTTAAGGGCAACGATTTCCTAAAAGTAGTGATGCATTAAGCGTTACGCCAGGGTGTTTGAAAGACTCGCATACAAATTGAGGATTTGGGACTGTTTGGCCTAGAACGTCTCCATCATACAGCGTGATGCATAGAAATGGTTGTGCGAAAACAAACGCACATACATGTATGTCCATGTATCCGTATTGAGCTATCCATACTGAGTTATCCGTAGAAATTGTATATGCTCCAGGTACGGTAGTAATTGAAACAGATAGGATTTGAAACGCATAGGATTTGTTGTCTGCAACTTCAAAAAAACAATGAAGTGGTGGGGTAAAAAGATAAACAATAATGGTTGGCCTAAACAGGAAGCACTTTGTATGTGAATCTCATTGAAACAAATTAGGGCCTGCCTTGATTTTAGTTTAATTTTCCGTTAATAAAGCATTTAATATTTAATTTATTGAGTGTACCGTGCCAAATCTAATCCAAATTTCTTTGAGACTCAATTTTTCTTTGAGACTCAACTGCTGCATAGTCTTTATTTGAGCTTTTACTTCCATCAAGTATGCATGGAAGTACATGTAAATACACACGGATTTTCAGAGCATGCATCACGGACATGAAGGATATTCAAGTTGTAAACACAAAACGCAAACTCGCATCGAAAATGGAGTAACGGACATATGGATTTCGGCCTTAGGGTTAATACAAATCTCCATGTACGTACATGCTGCGAAATACATGCATGCAAAAGGTTGCACAACGTCTCTGGTACAATTAGCACAACTGTCCTGCTACCCGTTAGGCAGTGCTGAGAAGTTGGCCCCAGGTTTTTTTTTCAGCCCCACTGTAAAAACACAAATCACACTCTTCTTCTCTCTGTGTGCCCGACAGCGTTTTGACGACACCATGGCCGAGCTGGAGATTTCCGCCCGCAATGAGCACGAGCAGCTGCGCGTGGTTCACCAGCACCGCGTCTCATCCAGACTGAGCGATCAGAGAACACGTGCTGAGCAGTACTTTGCCGAGTCCCTCAGGGACGAACCTCCCAAGGTACAGATAAACAGGACGCTCTGCCGACCTGACTCCCCTAGAGAGAGAATGACAAATGGAAAGCTTCCGTATATCACAAGACCTTGTTTCAGTGTTATATACTTGGTACTTGGTTGGTTCTTCTCCTAAGGACTCCACAGGGGAGTTTTAAAAGGAGACCAGAAACACTGGGGCAAACCCTTCTCTTAGCGATAAATGTCACTGGGTTCTTTAACGTGCATCGCATTAAGATTTGATTCTCCCCTTTCAAAACAGACCAAGAAAGTTCTGCACGCCCTGCAGAAGTACAGCAAGGCAATCCAGCGTGACAGGCAACACGTCATGAATATTTACAAGCACCTGGTGGCCACAGACCCAGCCCGGGCTGAGTTGGAACGACCGGACACGGTACGTCGATTGCACGACATGGACGCCAGCTTGCAAGACTGCCTGGAGATGCTGCAGAAAGCACCTGAGGTGTACGCTGAGATCCAGAACAAAGTTGGTGAGTTATACCCATAAGCACATGTGGTACATTGTATTACTGTGTAATACATTGTATTACATTGTATTACATTGTATTACATTATATTACATAGTATTACATTGTATTACATAGTATTACATAGTATTACATAGTATTACATAGTATTACATAGTATTACATTGTATTACATAGTATTACATAGTATTACATAGTATTACATAGTAATACATAGTATTACATTGTAGTACATAGTATTACATTGTATTACATAGTATTACATAGTATTACATTGTATTACATAGTAATACATTGTATTAACTCCCTGATGAATCCACAAAGTCACAGAGTGTTTGGGGTCGTTTCTGGCAGTTCGATGATTAATAGACAGGATGGTTTGGGAGGAGTACTGTTTGTCTCAAAATAATATTGCAAACCCTGTATGCTGTTGAACTACCATATTGAGGGTGAGGTCGAACCACCGAATGTGTCAAATGTGGCAGAGGCATTGCATGTTGGAAGGCCTGCATACGCTGTTGTTCTTTCTTACGTCGTGTCCAGGTCTCAGAGCCATCAAGAATATCATGTCATGCATTGCTCTATTCATGATTGGGCAGATATTCATAAGAGCAAAAAAGTCAGTAGGCTTACATCATGTTGGCTGCTTTCAGACTCTAAATCCACTGAGAGAGATTTTTAAAACTGTGCATCACTGCCACACTTCCCACTTGACTGACTGTTGGTGATTGAACCAATTATCACTGTTCCTCTCTTCCTCCACAGAGAACCTTCTTGCAGCCAGCAAATCCCCGGAAGACATTGCCTTCCTGCAGTCCATGGAGACAGCCCTGAGCATGGCGACACAAACCGAGGACCAAGACGACACTGAGGAAGACGAGGATGAAGTAGACCCACAGCCTGAGGTTATCCCTCTGCCTCCCAAGAAAACAGCCAAGAAGACCAAACCAGTTAAGGCAGGAGTCAAGAAGCCCGTCATTGCGGAGATCCTGCCGCCGTTTGGCAAGGTTCCCTCGGGACGTAAGGTGCCTGATGTGCCAGACCTTCCGATGGTTGTTGCTCAGGTAATGCGCCAATCAGTTATTAGTTACAAGTCAAATCACAAGTCAGGCCACAAGTGACAGAGGATGGATGTGTCAAAGAAATGCCTTTGTCACAATATAATTTGAGTAGCTTGTGAATTGACCGGAGACTGAGGTTGATTTGTTAACATGGTTAAGGACTTGTGATTGTCATGTGATTGTCATGTGATGGACTTGTGATAGGCGTGTGATTGGCACGTGACTGGCTTGTGACACAGTTTACTAGAATATTTTTGACTTGAGATAAGATTCCCATGTGGTGGACTTGTGATTGACTTGTGATGGATTTGTGATGAAGTTGTGATGGACATGTGAGTGACATGTGACTGAATTGTGATGGACTTGTGATGGACTTGTGATTGACTTGTGACCGACTTGTGATGGACTTTCGATTGACTTGTGACTGACTTGTGATGGGCTTGTGATTGAGTTGTGATTAACTTGTGATTGACTTGAGATTGACTTGTGATGGACTTGTGATGGACTTTCGATTGACTTGTGACTGACTTGTGATTGACTTGTGACTGACTTGTGATTGACTTGTGATTGACTTGTGACTGATTTGTGATGGACTTGTGATTGACTTGTGATTGACTTGTGATGGACTTGGGATGGACTTGTGATGGACTTTCGATTGACTTGTGACCGACTTGTGATTGACTTGTGATTGACTTGTGATTGACTTGTGATTGACATGTGATGGACTTGTGATGGACTTGTGATGGACTTGTGATTGACTTGTGATTGACTTGTGATTGACTTGTGATGGACTTGTGATGGACTTTCGATTGACTTGTGACTGACTTATGATTGACTTGTTGTGATTGACTTGTGATTGACTTGTGATGGACTTGTGACTGACTTGTGACTGACTTGTGATGGGCTTGTGATGGGCTTGTGATTGACTTGTGATTGACTTGTGGTTGCACTCTTTCATCCCCAGGTTGAAGCTGAGGAACCCGAGGAAGTTGAAGAGCCCGTAGCAGTCAAAGGTGAAGCCCTCCCAGCCGTCAAGATAGTCAGCGCTGAGGCACCGGAGACAGAGGAACAACAACAACAACAACCGGCACTGGAAGAGCAGAATGCACCGCCCAAGAAACAGCTGCCGATCATTGCAGGTAGGCCACGCCCCTAAAAGGGGAACTCTGGCCAGCAGACCATTACTCTTGCACTACTGCAATTCCAAAACACTTTTATATTCACCTGTAGAAAACAATGCACTATGTTCAGATCATGGATGTCACTTCAGGGGTGTGTACACAGTCTGTGGAATGCCAAATTAGTTGGAGTCTTTTCTGATTGGGTTTGCATCCTCCAGCATTTTCTCAAAAGTTATAAAGGAAGAGCATGGAGAAACCAGTGAGAGGAAGTCTTGGATGCATTGTGTGACCTCTTTCGTGTCCATGTTACCATGGTAACCTTGGCATATTGTAATTTGCCATTCAAGTATCATGAAGAATGACTTCAACATTTGTGATGGGATCAGGCTAAATGAGTCGTTTGTCGGGAATTTTTATTTGGAGATACAGGCCAAAATAGGACCACTTCATCACATCACTTCATCACATCTCTTGGTGATCCAACTTCCATATTTTTTTAACTAAAGATGGTATCAGCATGCGTTTTTCACAGCAGTAAGGCTGAGATTGTGCTCTTTTCAAATCTGTAATAATTTTTTTTTTTACTGGGGTCCACAAACGACTCATTTAGCTTGATCGCATCACATATTTGTTATTTGCTGGGTAGGTAGTTAGCTTTTCATAATCACTCTTTGGGGATGACTGCATTAAGGAGTGCATCAGAATTATACAATCATATAGGCGTCGGATGTAACAGGGACAGGAGCAACAAAAACTGGGTCCCAAATTTACAGAATAACCCAATTTCTGCTTTATGCCTTGCCATCAGGTACAAGACAATTCTGGTTAGTGGCATTATGATTGAACTAAGTAGTATGTACTTATTTGCATGAGCCAGTACACGCAAGCAATAGCGCCAAAGAACAAGGAAGCGCCATAAAACAAGTAATGTCTAACGATACATGCACTACGTCACTTTCAACATGATCTGTAAACACTATGATGTGTGTGATCTGTTACACCGTGCCCTCTGGAGACATGTGCACCACAGGGATCAAAAGATTGTACACGTCTCCACAGGGCAATTTCTATAGATGAATACGTCGCCACAAGGTTATCACGAAATAGATACATGGATTTTACTCAAAAACTAGGAATTTCCAAGGTGGGTTGACTGGTCGCAAAAAAAAGTCTCTGGTTTCTGGTATGGAGCTTGCCCCAAAAGTGGTGCGGCGACGCGTTTTTTTTTTTTTTTTACCCGTTATTTTTCTTAAAATGTCGGCTGATGACTGCAAATGGTGCCTGACTAAACTTAGTGCAAATATATGGGAGCCCAGAGAGGCCACATAAAGCTTAAACTCGATCGTAACCCCATGTAAAAACACGTTAAAATTGTGCGGCAGCAGGATTCCAGTCAAACCAGTGAGTTTGGCAGTTTTGAAACATCATCTTTCATTAAAAAAACAACTTTTTCATTTTGCCGACGTGCAGGGCTACGACGACACGTGTGCATACCAGAAACCGGAGACTTGGGGGGGGGGGGGGGGGCTAAGGGATATTTAGTCCGAATTTCAGCCAAGGAAATTAATTCTGGTTAAATTAGGAGCATTTTGAAACTTCACTTTCAAACTCGAAAACTTTAGTACAGGAGAACAAAGAAATGACTCCACAAGGATACAAATTTCAGTATGTGTTTGTGCTTACAGTCAAACCCCTGGACCAGTACCGAGATGACGAGGTTGATTCCCAGACACCACAACAACCAGAGCAAGAGGAGTCAGCCTCGCCAGCCAAACCCATCCTGGTGGCTAAGAAACAACCGCAGAAGACCCAGAAGGCAGCCGCTAGCAAGATGGACAAAGGCACCGAGTTCCGCCCCAAGTCAAGCAGCAGCATCGACAATGTGAGTTTTAATAAGGGAATAAAATTGTGCTTTGGAGGTTTTAATCAATCTGTTAAAGACCGCCTGGAGTCTGGGTGCTGATGGTAGAACGCCATGGTCCAGTGGTTACGGTGTTTGACTCATGTACGAAGGTGCGTGGGTTCGAACCTGGCCAGCAACGTGATGTTTGTGCCCTTGGGCAAGTCACTTTACTACAATTGCCTCTCTCCACCCAGGAGTATAAATGGGTACCTGTCAGGGTCGCGGATTGAATGAGCGCTGATATCGGATGCCGCGTGGTCCCATGGCCTGATGAACAGGGTAATAATTGTAAAGCGCTTTGAGATTGTTGATATGATGGAAAGCGCTATATAAGCACAATTATTATTGATAGGAGAGGGTAATTATCAGCACCCAGACTCCCAGCATTCTTAAACAGAGTGATTAATACCGACCAAGCACATATTTATTCCCATTCATAAATACCTTTTCGGTAAAAAAAAATTCAAAATAAAAAATGTTTTTGCTCAACAAGTTCACATCATGTTTTATTAAACACCCCTCTAGCTAAATAATGGATCGTCCAGCTCGAGTAAGATGTAAACAACTCCTTTTATGGTGATTAGCGCGCGCGATGTCACGCAGAATGCACCTGGGGCGTTGTGTTGTGAATTTAGGACTATAAATACTGACTCATTGGTAGTATTGCGCATGCCTACGTGAGGATTGTGAACGTTCAACCAATCAAACGGTTAGAGGCACTGGATTTTTAGGAATCCAAATTTCATGTGACACTGGAAAAGTGTTTAAGACCAGCTAGCCATGTCTTGATCATCCGTTTAAGACCAGCCACGTGACGGGCTGTCGACCAATACAAACGGGTAAACTGTCTTAGGTATTTACACATTTTTGTTTTATGAAGTGACGCTGGCCGTTTTTTCAAAGGTGTATGGGACATGTATGGGAAAGTTCAGTTTTCAAGGTGCGTAGCGCCGGAAAATTTTGCGCTGCGCTGCGACCCATGGTCGGATTTTTATTGTTTTTCCTATCAAAAGATGCGCAGGGCTGGAGGCTAAAAAGTCATAACAGCTTGGGTTGCGGAAAAAAATTTTTCAAGGCTATCGCGGAAAAAGTTTGGGTTAATATTGTGTTCCGCAGGTTGCAGGTTCTTCTCCTGTTTGTTTTCTTCACCCAAATTCAGATGTAACTTTCTCTGCCAAGTTAATTCCCTTGAGATTTATTCATTCTCTCTCTCTTCTCCCTCCTTGTTAATGCTCAGTCTGTCAGTCAGAAATCTCTCAAGTACGGAGCCACCCCAGCCCTAGCCTTTGGCTTGGCCTGCGGCGTCCTGGCTGTGGCTACGGTCATGGTAGTGGCTGTGGTCCTGGTGCGTAGGAAGGCACGACGCGTCCCCGTCAATCATGGATTCACCGAGATCGATCCCAACATGACGGTGGAGCAGCGGCACATAGCGGCTATGCAAGCCAACGGCTACGAGAACCCAACTTATAAGTACTTCGAGATGCAGTAAAACAAACAAATATCCTGCAGTCGCGTCTCTTTAGCAAAAAACAAAAAAAAAAGAACTAAAAAAATCTCAGAGCTATAGGAGTGAAGACTCGGTGAAAATATGCGGCTTTTCAAAATTGTGATGTCTGTGGTTTTATCGGTTTGTTTTTAATTCCCGTGATTTTGGACTTGTTTTAAAACTTTGTTTTTAAAATACTTTCTGAAGATGTAAACTCGTAGGAAAGTTACGCAAGATTGCTGACGCCTGTAATTATTTGTGCAGCACATAGTGTAATGGGATTTTTTCCCATTTTTTAATGATTATTTGTGTGGACTTCGAAGGGCGGATCGTTAATATGAGAAACTAAACGATGAGGGGTGATTTTTAAAGAAGAAAAGTTAAATTTCCGTTTAGTTTTTTACATGTTGTGGCGTTTCTTTTTTTTTAAACTAAAAAAGAAGCCATCGGTAAAAAAAGTAACAATAAAATAAATTGTGCTGTACTTTTTGTATCTCAATCTTAAATAATATCAGTATTGTTAAAAATTTGTGTGTGTGTGTGTCATCATCGTATTCGAATATCAAAGTTTGAAAAAAAAAATTGTCGGGCAGAAAAATGATTTTAATGTAATGTAAGCACTGCACAGTAACTGTAATAGTAATAATCAACTTTGAAATGATGCATGCTTATGCTGACTCTGTTACTTACAGCCTATAAATAAATATGACGTAATTGCGAGTACTCTTTTTTGTATTTTACCGTCCTACTGTACAAAATCCTGTGTGGCAAAAAGTTTCGAGAAGTGGCAAAAAAGTGACAAAATTTTGACAAAATGTGTTAAAAATGCAGCTAGGTTTCGGCTGTTAGACCCATATACATGTAGGTGTATACATACTAGAATACAAAACTTAGGTAATTTTGTTAAGATGAGAAACTTTGAGCAAGTCATTTTTTCCGAGATGCGGAGTTTTCTTTGAGAGCGTTTTTGTGTGTGCGTGCTTGAAATGTCTGCTGCATTTAGCCCCATTTTGGCTGAATTTGGTGACTTTTTCTGTGTCTTCTGCGAATGGTAATTAAGATATGTGTAAGTAGTTATGGTGTTGGTGTGTTAACATACAGGGTAGGGCAGCAGCACGTCTATGTGACAAAGCGAACACCCTTTTCAGCCACATTTGCTCAAAATTTTCAAATCCTGGATGGAATTTGAAGTTTGTGCTACACAGAGCTAAAATGTCAAGTTTCCACCTTCAACAATTATAGTCTTTTTTATTTTTCTTTCAACTACTGTTTATCGAACACGACACAACAGTTTTTGAGAAGGAAAGTACGGTCACTTCCAATTTTGCCAGTACTCTGATTCCACTGAGTCATGTTTGGGGCCCGTTTGTTAATTTTTTTTTAGAAATGTCGCATTCTGAGAAGAGTCGCAAGATCTGAAAAGCTATCCCAAGATCTGGCAATGTGGCTGAAAATGGGAAAAATCTGTATATTATTGAGAAGAAAAATAATACCGCACATGCACAATCTGCACTAGTATCAGATCGTAAAACCACAATCACATGCACCGTAGAATTAGACACCTCACATTGCATGCAACAGTTGAAAATATCAGTCCGTATTTCAGATGGTTATGTGTCATGTAGTTACTGCAAGTTCTGTGTAGCGTAATGTCCGAGACGTCCATCAATTTTAACTTGTGAAAAATAGTAGACCAAGTCCATGTTATTCCTGTTAACATACTTTAGGATGATATTGTTCATTAACCCTTACTCTCTGAGGGTAGTTTACTGCATGTCAGTTGGTTATGCCAATGCCCTCCAGCTGCAGTTTATTGGAGGATACTTTGATGTAGCAGTGAAGGCTCCAATTGGCAGGAGTTGGAGGCCCTGGAGGGTGCCTGATACTGACCAGCTGGGGACACTCACTTTGTTATCAGAGGACTCTCATTGTTCTCTGTGGCATGTATTGGAGTGCCTGTCCAGTTACCCTTGAAATGACATGGCAGATATTGGAGGGCCATGCAAAAAACATAGGAGATTTTCTTGAGGCACAATTGGCATGCGTTGGAGGGTCTAGTAGGGTAAGGGTTAATATTATTATTAGTAATAATAAATATTCTTTAATTAAGAATCAGTTTTCAACTCAGCATTCTTATAATCGTACAAGTTGTAATTTTGAAAAAAAAAATATTTATTCAAAACTGTTTTCTTAATAAAAAAGTAAAATTGTATTCGTAAACTGAAAGATTCAAATTCATGTACATTTAACTCTTGGTTTACAAAATGTAATTCTCTTGTTAGGCAGACCAATCTTAACAGTCAAGTTAGAAGTACACTTGTAATTCACATCTGAAGTATTCAAGTAATATGGTTAGACTTCAGACGTCATTGAAGGTTACATATTTTAGCAGGATTTTAATTCTTATCCGTTTACGTCATGTACAAAGAAAAGAGAAACCTAATTTCTAAACCTAAATTGGCAATATTTTAACTCAAACTTTCAATGTGACATCCACCTCTAGTAAATGTTCCACCGTTACTACTCATATTTTTCTCTCTGTGCTATTGTAATAATTTAATTTTTTTTTTTTTCACTTTTGTTGGAAATTTTGTTCATTGTTTTTCTTTTATATGCTTTATGATGTTTTATTGTTTAATTTATTCAAGTCCTTACAGATACATGCATTGCATGTACCACACATATTTTTTTAATTCACTACATACGTGAATCTGTCACAGTGTTAGTGGTGGATTGAGAATTACGTTGGAAGGTTCAAGAAAAGATTGTAGCATTCATCCGATGAAGGATTGTTTTTCTGCAAATTAATGATCCCACCATTCCAGAAATATCCACATCAAACATGAGTAAACTTTTTAGTTTTTTGTTTTTTTAACTAATATGACCACGACTCCACCCTTTCATTTTTGCTATATCACAGCTGAAATTGAACTGAATGGAATAGATATTTAATCGGAAATGTGAGATATATTGGTCAGTGGCCAGTAAGACCAATTCAGTAAGCTCCAGTTGTACTTTACATAACTCTCGAGGACAAGGCATTGTTTCCCTTTGTCCCTGTCATATAACACACTTCCATAGACAGCACATAACCCTAAAATCGAGGACTGTTTTCAACAAAAGATGAACGATGGAGGTCAACAAAGAATCTGTTGTTCTCCCTTTTGTCCGTCTGTCCTCGGACAGAGTATGTAGACAGTAGTGCACGTACATGCTTGCTTACTCTCCAAAGCTACACCGCACATCCAGCCGTGTGCATCATATGCGCGTGCAGGCATGTCAGACATTTTGTGCACACATGTCAAACATAAATCACGGCTGCGATTGGTCAAAACGCCATGGAGCAGAACTTAATGAATCAAACACTTTTGGAAGGGTTCAAGCCAAAAAAGTTTAAAAACATATTTTTTTTTTTTTCGTTTCCAAATTTTAGTAATTAAGAAGCGTTGCTTCTTTCTGATGTTAATAATCATTTTTGGTTACTGTACAGCTTTTATATTGCTTTTTAGGAAAAAACGCATTTTTATGTTTTAATTTTTTGTGCCGCTGGTTATTTTTGTGTATTTAAGTTCAATTGGTATCTTAATAGATCAAGGCTTTACATGTATGTTGCAGGGGAAAAAATTACCAAAATAATCTTCAGTTTAGCATGACTAGATGTGTTTCAATTCTTTTCAAAAGCCGTTGGACGAAAACACTGTCATTTCTTGACGTTAAGTTGAACTGTCGTTTTCTCGTGTATTTATATTTTCGGTTTGTATAAATTTCTCCAAATCATTTTTTCCTCGAGTGGAGAGGAGAATCCATGCCACTGCCCAGTATTCCTAAATTACAAACCAAAAAAACACACCCTAATAGTTGCATGTTGTTGCTTGTTTCATAACATTCAGGGTACATGTAGCTAGCCTAACGGGGTAATTTACTCGTCTGGTTTAGTAAAGGGAATCAGGGTGACCATAAGGTCATGGCCAAATTCTGCTAAATGCAATTACAACATCTGTCAAATTCCCCAGAATTACTCGAAGTACCCTATGTATACACTTAAAATCACATGCAGATGTTGCGTAAATTTCAGGCAAAATTCGGTTGCGTCACAACGAAGTCCGGTTCCCAGTGAACCTCAGCACCATTTTGTTTTAAATTTGCTATGTGTTTCTGTCAAATATCCATTTTTGCAGAATTCTGCCAGAAATCTGACAAAAAAATCTATTCTGTCAAATTTTCTGTCAAACTCGTTTTTTTAACAAAAAATCTGTCAAAGTTGGCCGAAAATCGGCTAAAACGGTCACCCTGAAGGGAATGGACAGAATGTATTGCCTGCTCAGAGGAAAAAATGTGTCCCAAAACTCCAGCGTTATGACTGATTTTCTTGCAATATAAATTACAAGTTTAAAAAGGCCGCCTGCTAATACCATCTTCCACGGTGTCAATGGAGTACCGAAGCGTGACGTCATTTAGAACCAGAAAGTGTAGTGCAAACGAATGGAGTACCGTACGCGCGCGTGTTGGTTCACGGTCCGAATCACGCACTTTCACCCACATTTTATGCGCGACGTATTCACTTCGGTACTCCATATGGGAAAGGTTGAAATATATTGGGAAAGTCTTGTAGTTTTTAAAAGAATTAACGGAGAGAATCATGTCTGATGGACAAGTAAATGGGTCTTGACTGATTTTGTGACGGGAAGTCAAATACTGCCCTCGATGTAAACGTGCATCGTTTAGGAGATTTGGTTCCATTCTTTGTGGGTTGTCTATTTGTAGGAGACTTCCCAGATACCGGCAGTGCCATGGATTTTCCACTCTGTATCCCAGTTGACAATATGTATCTCTGCAGTCATCATGTAATAAAGCTTCAATGTCACCCCAGAAAGCGTTCAATGTCTCCTAATTTTTTTGTTGTCTCCTGTGTGCCATACAGCGTGTGCCAAAAACAGTGCAACATTCAAAAAACAAATGATTCAAACTGTTTTTTTTTTTTTCTGAAATGAAATAATATATAACATCCGCGACGGAAAGAATTCCATACTGGGCCACCACTCAGACCTCCAAGTCTATGGGCCACGACAGAAACAGTTTTGAGTATTATTAGGGAGGTTTCGCAAGCGAACGGATACGCTTACACTTACGCTTAGCTATCCGTATCCGTTTTTTACCTACGTGTAGCGAGCGAGATATGCGTGTCGTCTGCACGTTTAGCGGATAGTGAGTGGCGTATGACGTCATACGTGCAGACGACACGCATATCTCCCTCGCTACACGTAAGTAAAAAACGGATACGGATAGCTAAACGTAAGTGTAAGCGTATCCGTTCACTTGCGAAACCTCCCTATTAAAGAATTTTTGCACTCCTAAAATAGTGTTTCTTCATCAGTTTTACAACTTTTGGTACTTTTTCAGGTCATATTAAGGAATATGAGTGGTGGCCTTGTATGGAAATCTTTCCCTTAAAGACTACTTTTCAATCCACTCCTTTAAATGCCCCACTTCTTTTATTTGGGTCCCTAGATCCAGAAATTCATGTACAATCAATTAAAGGGAAGATACAACATTTGCAAACAAGTGAAAACGAAATGATCAAATTATCATGAAATACCTTACTGGATCGTTAGGGAATGACCGTAGAAAGCATCCTATAAAACCGACCAGTGTTGGAGAAAACTGCCCCTAATTTTTCATAAATAGTTATTCCGCGTTTTCTTTGCAATTGATTACACACCTGTGAAGGGGTACAAGCCTGCTAGACAGCTAGACTGATTCTTTGACCTTACAATTCCCCAAAGTCTATAAATTGCTCCGTTTCATCTTAAGTGGGGTCAGGGAATCAGACTACAAGAACATGATTGGTTTTCTTGGTTTTTCCAGCATCTACAAGCCCAAAAAGTGAAACAAGTTAGTTTAACAATATTTGCTATAGCATACTAATCTCCAAAATCCATTTATTTCTGAAAATTGCACCACAGCAAGTGTTGTACACTCCCCTTTAAACAGCATTGTAAAATTTAACAAGTGAATCAACTGAAGCTTAATCAACTTGATTTGGAAATATAATAGAAAACAACATTATGGAACAATTGCAAATCGGCATAAAACAGCACCTAAAAGGGCATACAGTATTGATATACTAGAGAACTTTGCAACAGGATCAAGCATGACAATTTGAAAAGATCAAAATTCACTAAATACAATTCTTCAGAACACACACAAAGTGGCCTTTTTTTAAGTGCTTATCAACTGAGGCTAATTAACCTTAACTCTATAGGTTGATTATAATTGAAATTTGCTCCATCGAGATGAAATACTCATGCTATTAAGTAGTTTTTGCAATTAAGTAGTTATTAAAAGATATCTGCTTGGACACCTTTTTTGGGACGCCCTGTACAATCGGGTACTTAAGTAAATTTTGTTTGATGCTGTTAAAAGGTGTTGTTTTTTAAACAGTGCAGGACAAGGCCAAAAAAAAAAAGTCTCCGGTTTCTGGTATGGAGCTTGCCCAAAAAGTGGTGCGGCGACGCGGCTTTTATTTATTTTTTTTACCTGATTTTTTTTGCTTCAAATGTCGGCTGATGACTGCAAATGGTGCCCGACTAAACTTAGTGCAAATACAAAAATGTATATGGGAGTCCAGAGAGGCCACATAAAGCTTATTCTCGACCATAACCCAATCTAATTTAAACACGTTAAAATTGTGCAGCAGCAGGATTCCAGTCAAACCAGTGAGTTTGGCGGTTTTGAGACATCATCTTTCATTGAAAAAAAAACTTTTTCATTTTGCCGACGCGCATGGCTACGGCGACGCGCGCGCATACCAGAAACCGGAGACTTTTTTTTTTGGCCCAAGGTGATAGGAACCTTCCTTGCCCTTGCAAATCCCAGCAGTAAACTGTGCACATAAGCAGTTGGAATCTGTTTATTTATGGTACCAGTATGCCTAATTCCACGTACAGTCAGTTTACTAGTGCAGTACTCATCCTAACAGATTCCAACAAACCCTCAGGTGTTGGAGTTTGGTTGGTTGGGGATCGTTAGGGTTAATACACTACAGTGTATTTGAAAATTACAACAATTAAGTTATGGAAAATTTGCAACTGCATCAAACGGCAACTTCTCAACAGGATCAAGCATGAACGTTTGAAACGATCAAAATTCAGTAAATGTTATTCTGCAGAACGTATACATTTCTTATGTACACATAAAGAAATTTACACATTTCACTTTTTTCAGACACTGAATCTCAACAACTGCACAATGTACAAGGAAACACACTGTTCACAGATGCATTACAAAACCATTTAAATGAGCAGTATTTTCTGCCCCAAATGCTCTCCACATGCTTGAAAAAACTGGTACATTTTACACTTGTGAACACGTTTCTTAATTATTTAGTTCTACTACATGTAGGCGCCCTAATGTTTAGTACTACCATAGAACTATATTAAATTACTAGAGCGCTAACTTCGGGTACAAAGTCAGAAAGTAATGCCTGCTGGGCGCATCCATGTTTATGCACAAACCTATGGAGACCTTGAAATTTTGTACAGCTTTTGTACGGCTATTTGCATATCTGCGTTTGTATTCCATACCGGTGTGTTATCGAAGCCAATACGCCCAAAACCGAAACGCACGATCAGCAAATGAGCATGTCATTTTGCTCTACGCAAACAGCTTAACGCGTGCGCGTATTTGCTGCAGATGCTTTTTGCCGTCACGTTTTTTTGAACCGTCAATGACGCGCTTAAGTTGTTTGCGTGTGTTCTACTTGCGCGTTGCAATTGTAGAGTACACTTTCAAAATTCAATCCATCTAATTTCATTATGTTCTACAAACACGCCTATCAATTCAAAATGTCTGCGCCCAGGACGGCTTCAAAGCGTCTCCGCGAGCAGAGTGACGAGTTAGCGCTCTAGTAATTTAATATAGTTCTATGAATACTACATACATGTAGTACACATACATGCATTCTGGAATTTGTACCCTTGTGGAGTCATTTCTTTGTTCTCGTGTACCGGTACTAAAGTTTTCGAGTTTGAAAGTGTACTTTCAAAATGCTCCTATTTTAACCAGAATAAATTTCCTGGGCTGAAATTCTGACTAAATATCCCTTACATAAAATACTTCAATTTGCGATGGATCACCGCACCATGCCTTGGAAATTCCTGGTTTTTGAGTAAAATCCATATATCTATTTTGTGATAACCTTGTGGAGACGTATTGACCTATAAAAATTGCCCTGTGGACATGGTGGAGACGTATTTGTTCCCTATTGTGCACATGTCTCCAGAGGGTACCGTGTACCAGATCACATGTACATGTACATATACTTACAATGTAAATGTAGCATGTTTGTTAAATGGTGTAACAGTAAGTCGAGGATTTTCTTTTGTTCCTCTTTCCTGTTCCTTTTTTCGTACTGTAACTTTTTCGCGACAGCTCTCATTGGTTTTGTACACGTTTTCCAACCGAGGAGTCCTCGATTCGGTTGCTGTCCTCGATTTATCGATGGTGTTGCACGTGTGTGTCCTCGATTTACACCATAAACATGCGCTACATGTACATGTACCTGTCACATGTACTGGTATGTTTTGTACACTATTTGTACAGTATACATTGTACATAATAATAGCCTTGAAACAACATCACGATGCCAAATTACACAATTTGGCATTGTGATGTTGTTTCAAGGCTGTCATTATGTATGTACTATGTATTTTTTTTCTGACAAGTGGACACATTTGGCTCACCCAGTTAGGATTGCCCCTCCTCTACTTTGCACATTGTGCACAGTAAATATATGTAAAAACAAGAATTCTTTGTACATGACAGTGATACATACACAACATGTGCATACCACATAAAGCATCTTTGTCCTTTCTATGGAATAAAGTGGTATGAATACAGATGTACATTTTTGAACTACATGTACATGTACATGTATGCACATGTCACATGAGAACTGTTATAAATCCCATGCATGTAAAAACATGAAAAACAGCATGCATGCCACTTTTCATACTTTTGTAACGGCACTAAAATGTGTCTCAACCCTAACACCCTACATGTAGGCCTTTTTGCTAGGATGTAGCCTCAATCCTGCAAAATCCTCCAATTGGCCTGATGGAAAAATAGTATTTGGCTCAATCCTGCAAATTCCCCCATTATTTCTTGAATATGGGACCTCCGTGGAGGGGTGACCACTGCCTGAATCCTGCAAAATCCTGCGGCAGTGACTGTCAATGTGTTGAGGCTTGGCCAGTGACATCCTGGAGCAGTACGGAGGATTTCAAGCATTATCCAGGTCTATATTTATGCATGGCTGAGCAAAAACAACACAAGGTCCGGCCCAAGACCTTGACAAAGTGCATCCTACAAAATCAGTAACACACTTTTGCCATGTAACCTCAATCCTCCAAATTCCTCCACTTTGGCAAAGAGGATTTTGAAGGATTCAGGGCGGTTAGGGTTAAACATTATCGTATCAAACGCTGCAGAAAGTTTACAAACAATACAAACTGTGCGTGTACGGAAGTGATCAGAAAGCACCATCGAGTCCATACATTGTACATGTAGGTCCATGTCACACCAGGCAGGCTAGGCATCTTGTTCAAGGTAATCTCCACGAACAAAACAGACAACTTTTACTTCCACGTAAGTTTCCAAACAAAAAAAATCATCAACTACTAGAAAATATTTACTTTCTTCAATTCCAAAGGGTTCCTTTAGGTTGTAGTGCATATGATTACCTGCAAGTTGTACGTACATACATAAAATATTGCTTGAGTGATGTGGCCATATTGTGCACATATCTACGTACATAAATGTATCATCATAATACCCTCACGTGCATGTACATTGTATCAGCAATTTCATGTTTACACAAGTTAGTACACCAACAACTACATGTAAAAACACATGAACACTGTGCTAAGGCAGGAGTCTTGGTTGCTTCTTAACAATTCTCATGCGATAGTCAGGAGTCAGGACAATATTATCTCTTATCTCTTGTGTATTTTCTCATGTTGCCATCGACCTTGAAGACTAGAGAAACTCTTCAAACAGTGACGGCATCCGTAGGGTTTCTCCCCAGTGTGCGACCTGACATGGGCTCGGAAGTTCTCCCTGCAATTGAACTCTTGCTTGCAGAGGCTGCAGACAAGCTGAGTTTTGTTAACGAGTTTCTCAAAAGTCAACTGGCTCTCACCGTTGCTGCGTCTGTGGACACGCTCATGCTGCAAGCGGCTCTGCACTGTCCCGAATATCTTGGGACACAGGCGACACTTGTAGGACTTGGCGCTCTCGGTGGCAGCAGTGGGATCCCGCAGAACGGGCATGCAGAAGTCCTGGTGCTCTCGGAATTCTTGCTTGTTTGGGAACACTGCTCCGCAGGGACATGCCTTGAGGTGTCCGTGATGGGTCTCCATGTGTTGTAGAAGGTTGACAGGATTCTGGAAGACCTCTCTACAGACTTGACAGCTTCCTTCCTCCCAGTGGTCTTTCTGATGCACCTCAACATGCTTGATGAGCTCCTCGGTAGTCAGGAACCGCAAGCAGCAAACAGAGCACATAAAGATAGAGCCCCGATGGCCGGTTGTGGTTCCGTGTCTGTTGGCTTGATGACCTCTGTGGCTCTGTTCGTGCTCCCGAAAGCTGTCCTGATCCGGGAAGATCTTGGAGCAGATGCCACAGACAAATACACTTGGTCCGTCACTGCAGCTTGTGAGGTCATTGTTGCTTGTTTTCATGTCTCTTGGAGCCTGGCAGTCCGCTAGATGCCTCTGAAGCATGTAGAGGGGAATCGGCATGTTGCAACTGGAGCACTGCTTCCACAATGTTGTGCCTTCTGGTTTGGAGGAGTCACTGGGAAGCAGGGAAGATACCTGTTGTGAAACTACCGGTACTTTCTCATGTCTCTGCAAGGCAGGTTTACCTTGCTGCGGCTGCTGTTGCTGCTGCAGTGGCAGCTGCTGCTGGTGCTGATGTCTCTGTGGTATTTGTGACTGCTGTGCGTGCTCATTTTGCTGGTGCTGACGTAGCTGTTGTGATGGCAGGATAGGCTCACCTCCATGCTGTTGTTCATGATGCACGCTTTTATCTACATGCTGTTGTTGCGGCTGATTAGGTTTTGGCTGTTCGGAAACATCCTGCAGTTTTTGTCGTACATACTGATCTTGCTGCAAGTTCAAACCATGACCCCTATCTTTTGTTTCCTCATGGTATATTCCTTCATCCATAGTTTCTAGCCCGAGGTGCTGGGTCAGTTGTTCCAGTTGTGTACCCGATCACTTCTTGTCTTTGTCTGAGGCAAACATGGATGCAGCTCTGACGGTAGCTTTTCCAAAACGTGCAAATCTGTGATGTGAAACGCATTCAAACTGTTAAAATTTACATGCACTGCTTCCCAACCCGGTGGAATGACCCATGTACATGTAGGCCCTAGCAACTTTAGACCCATAAACATGGCGTCCATATTAACGCCACGCTCCAGCCCCGCGTAATGCATGCAGCGCGTCATTTTGCCAGTCTAGTACATTTAAATATGTGTACACAATGAAGCTTTATGTACCGGTAAATTCACACGAGCGTAGGATCTTGCATTGCCAAGTAATTTGAGGGGAAAAAAACGACCTCGACACAACAATCAATGTACGAGCAAAACTGAGGTCACACACGGTACGCTGGCATTTCCACGACAACGCTGGCATTTCCAGACGAAAATTGAACCCACTAGCGGCGCCTAACAGCAGAGTGGTTCCCACATACATCGGGCGCACAGATTATTCGATTTTCATCACGTGATGCATTGTATAAATGCATAATTAACCATGTTAACCACACAACATGGATGACAGCCGTTGAAACTGGATTTTTTTTACGGACAAGCCACCGAAATCATCAACATTTTTAATAAGTTGTTTTTCCGTTGCAAGTCGATCATTAGCTTCATGAATGACTGTCGCATGGTAATGAAGTATGTAAATAGAATCTGGGTTGGGATTAGAGGGGAATTTAAAAGGGCCGTTTTGTGGAGGCCGTTTTTTTTCAGGCTTTCTTATTCTTAAGATTCTCACTTTTACAATGGACATCTGTCTCCAGCACTAACATGTGGATTCCTGATGAGCAGGTCAGCTGGAGTTACTCTAACCCCATAAATGTGGCCTATTTACTGGACTACCTCCGTAAATAAAGGCCACACTTGGAACATACCCGAACATTTAGAACTTTGTCAAATTTTGATTTCACATTTAGGCTTTATTTGTAGTTTACGCTTCGCGCTTTATAATTACATAAAGAAGCAAACTCACCCTCTTCTTTATAGCAATAGAAAATTTGTCCCCCCTTTTTCAGACATCTATATTTCGTGTAATTTTCATGTTCGTTTGGACACGTTTGCGTATCTAAATTCCAATACAAAATTACATGAAAAGTAGATGTCTGAAAAGGGGGGACAAAGTTTCTATCGCTATAAAGAGGGTGACATGAGTATGTTTCTAAAGCGTAAATGAACTACAAATAAGGCCTAAATGTGAAAATCCAAATTTGACAAAGTTCTACATTTTCGGGTAGGCCTACATGTTGGAAGTGTGGCCTTTATTTACGGAGGTACATGTAGTCCAGTAAATTGGCCACATTTATGGGGCTAGAGTCTATATCATCTCAATGAAGGTCAGTCATTGCAAAATTGATGATAAGCAAGATAAGACATAAATCTGGGACGGAGAAACATTTCCAATTTTGTTAGGAAATACTTACTTAGTCTAGAAAATATTCTTGACTTTGTACACAATCGCCGAAGTACATGTGTTGTAGCTTGAGTAACTCCAGCTCTAGTCATTATCGCATCTATGGTCTAATGCAATAAGCATTTAGAGCTTGAGTTACTTAAGCTACATGTATTGTAGTGTAGGGCCGGCCCGATTCTTATACTCATGATAGTATAACATGTATAAGGGAATAAAATCCACTTTAAAATTATTGGACCGACAAAACTAGTTGGCGACATTCGCAACTAGGTATGTCATAGATAGAGGGCAGGGTTTTGATTTTTTTAGGGAAATGTGGGGGTAAAATGACAATGACAGCGCGGCATACAACACGCAACCCAAAAATACAGATGGCGATCACCACACGATGTGCCGTGAGCACGCGATGTATTGTTGATGTACAGTACCCTAACGTGGCGCGACCCCTAACGTGGCGCACTTTGATTTTTTGCCTGTAGCGTCTAGCTAGAGCAAAAGTTTTAACTGAAATTTCACAGAAAGTGAAATTTCATCAAGTTCTAATCACTCTTGTTCATAAATCGCGAGTTTAGGCAAAATAAAAAAAAAACATGTTTAGCGTCCTGCCTCTTGGACAAAAAGGAAGGAGGAGGCCCTTTTTTTTTTTTTCAAAATGGCCGCCCGACACATTTTTCAAGACAACGCGGCCGGGCTATTTTTCAAGATGGTTACCAGCTTTTTTCAAAATGGCCGCCACTTGGACTCATTGACTATTTCCACAGTTTTATACACGGTATAAAAGTCTAAAAATACGATTTCTTTCGTCAGTGATCGTTAAAATTTATCAATTTTTGTCTTTAAAAAAAAAAAAAAAAAGGAGGCGGCCTCTAAAAAGGAAGCGGGCGGGGACGCTAAACATGGTTTTTTTTTTACTTTGCCTTATTTACCCGCTACTAAGTTAGAAGAAAAATTTATTTTGGTGTGATTTTCCGATTTTATTTTCAAGTGCAAAGTGAACCCTTTGAAAATGCCCCGAAAAATAAGGAAATAATTTTCTGACAAACATCTGGCTGGGTATGTAAGTAGAGATAATAATGATTTATCAGAATTTATCAAGTTGACAGAAATTCTTAAATGTTAATTTTGAATTTTCCGAGATTTATTTAAGTGCGCCACTCCGCCAATTTGTGCCCAATTTCCGGACGTCAACGTTTTATAATTTTGGCTTAAAGTTTATGAAACCGAAATTGTTCACATGCATGACATGGGTTAAATAGCAAGCATTAATAAGGAAAAAGTACCAGAATTTCACTGCATGAATTTGAGGTTTGTCAACAAAGAGGTTTGGCAACACCACACGAGGAAAGTTGGGTAAGCTTCGAAGTGCGCCACGTTAGGGTAGCAGACCAGTAAATAAACTTTCATAGACCCCAATGGTAAATGCTCCCACTTCAAAAATTCGGAAAAAATACTCACAACTCTCCAAGGTGTTCGAGACGCACATCAAATTAAAGCTTATTTCATCATCTTTCATTTTCTTTTCAATTTTCGGGGGGTCAACTGATGACTTTTAGGGGAAATTTCCATCTGAAGATGATCACCCCTGAAAATAGTCCTGAAGCCCATCGCCATTTTGAAAAACGATGCCTACACTCCATTGCAAAATAGAGCGCTTTTAGGGTCCAAATTACATCAAAATTACACAGAACTGCAAGCTCCCAGTCGTGTGCACGGCTTCCACCCATATTTTTTACAAACCCTCAAGTTCATGGCCCAAAGCATGCCCAAATACCGAAGATTTTGAGGGCATGCAAATCGTGATTTGGCCGGCGCAGGCAATTTCGGACTGATTTACTGGTCTGCACCCTATAGAGAAGCGATGTTTTGAAAAATTTCCCCAAACCACTTGTACGGCACGAGGAAGGATGGATGACTCATATTTCATCAAAAAATTGCAAGAAAAAAAATCTCTGACTGCGATTTCTGGCCTGAAAACAAGCCCTCTGTTTGCGGCTACCTTACTGTAGGGCGCCCCCAACGGGCTTTAATTGAGTTTTTGCTCTTTCCGACCCCAAATTACCCCCCCCCCCCCCTTGTTCGCTCGAAATTGCTGTGATCGGACGACGGTCCATCGGCCCTATTCAGATTTTGGGCGCATTTGTTGCGGAACCGCCATTGGTGACCCCTTTTGAAACGCTGCCCCCCCCCCCCAGGTTCCGCCCCCCTGAAAAAAAACACTCCGCAAACATTTGACAACAAACGATGGAAGGCGCCATTTTGAAACTACAGAGAAGCGATGTTTTGAAAAATTTCCCCAAACCACTTGTACGGCACGAGGAAGGATGGATGACTCATATTTCATCAAAAAATTGCAAGAAAAAAAATCTCTGACTGCGATTTCTGGCCTGAAAACAAGCCCTCTGTTTGCGGCTACCTTACTGTAGGGCGCCCCCAACGGGCTTTAATTGAGTTTTTGCTCTTTCCGACCCCAAATTACCCCCCCCCCCCCCTTGTTCGCTCGAAATTGCTGTGATCGGACGACGGTCCATCGGCCCTATTCAGATTTTGGGCGCATTTGTTGCGGAACCGCCATTGGTGACCCCTTTTGAAACGCTGCCCCCCCCCCCCCAGGTTCCGCCCCCCTGAAAAAAAACACTCCGCAAACATTTGACAACAAACGATGGAAGGCGCCATTTTGAAACTACAGGTAGCAGACCAGTAAATAAACTTTCATAGACCCCAATGGTAAATGCTCCCACTTCAAAAATTCGGAAAAAATACTCACAACTCTCCAAGGTGTTCGAGACGCACATCAAATTAAAGCTTATTTCATCATCTTTCATTTTCTTTTCAATTTTCGGGGGGTCAACTGATGACTTTTAGGGGAAATTTCCATCTGAAGATGATCACCCCTGAAAATAGTCCTGAAGCCCATCGCCATTTTGAAAAACGATGCCTACACTCCATTGCAAAATAGAGCGCTTTTAGGGTCCAAATTACATCAAAATTACACAGAACTGCAAGCTCCCAGTCGTGTGCACGGCTTCCACCCATATTTTTTACAAACCCTCAAGTTCATGGCCCAAAGCATGCCCAAATACCGAAGATTTTGAGGGCATGCAAATCGTGATTTGGCCGGCGCAGGCAATTTCGGACCGATTTACTGGTCTGCACCCTATTAGGGAACACGACTATACCGTGAGCACGCACGGCGCGCTGAACCGCAAGGCACTGTAGCAACTAGCTCTACTGAGTGGAGCGTTGAATTACGGGTACCCCTCCATACAAACGCTCCACCGATTTGCCATACTTTGGTAGCACCATACACGGTCGTCATGACGGTATGCATTTTGTGCATGCCCTCGCGAGGACAAGGCCCAAAAAAAACGATAAAGAAAATACAAATGAGGAAGACAGTAACCCTGGATAGATCCACACATTCATGACATTCCATAAGACCCCTCAAATTGTTTCAAACAACCGGTAATTTTGAAAAAAGAACAAAATAGTCTGAACTTACCGCTCACAATTAAATGTGTCTGCCGAGTTGCACAGTCTATTTCAATGACATGACTGATGCATAATTCATTGCGCGCGTGTGTGACGTCACTATTGAAGAAAAACAAGTCGCGCTTAATCAATGACTGTTTCATGTACTGATATGTGCCCCGCACCAAAAACCCACAGTCAGACGGCGCGGGGCACATATGACTACATGAAACAGCTATTGAGTAAGCGCAACTTGTTTTTCTTCAATAGTGACATCACACAAGCGCGCAATGAATTATGCATCAGTCATGTCAGTGAAATAGACTGTGCAACTCGGCAGACACATTTAATTGTGAGCGGTAAGTTCAGACTATTTTGTTCTTTTTTCAAAATTACCGGTTGTTTGAAACAATTTGAGGGGTCTTATGGAATGTCATGAATGTGTGGATCTATCCAGGGTTACTGTCTTCCTCATTTGTATTTTCTTTATCGGTTTTTTTGGGCCTTGTCCTCGCGAGGGCATGCACAAAATGCATACCGTCATGACGACCGTGTATGGTGCTACCAAAGTATGGCAAATCGGTGGAGCGTTTGTATGGAGGGGTACCCGTAATTCAACGCTCCACTCAGTAGAGCTATGTAGCAACCAGGATAAAATCATTGCCTACTGAAATTTAGATTATATATTTGATCATTGATATATTTTGCGAATTGTTCTTGTTCTTCAATATATTCAAATTCAAGTTTCTAATTGTTGCATTTTACAAAACACAATCAGTGACAATGTTTTATATCACCTCAGTCATTTCAGTAGTTATGTTTAGACATACAACCAGTCTATTTCCTATTTTCATGAATATGCATGTTATTCCATAGCTTGACCAATGTGAGCAACTTTTAAACCGCGCAGGAAAATCGTGATTTCTACCCCCCAAAAAATGTTCAAAATTGCAAAACGGGTGTCCCTTAGAATTGAGAAAAGTCTGCTTTTGATTGTCAGGTTGTAAAGTACTTCTGGAATCAGAAGGCTTCTCTTCTCTGACGGAGAGAAGCCTTCTTGTAAAGGTGATTTATGAGCAATAAAAAACATTTTTGTTTTGACTCTAGTCTAGACTAATTTAATCAAAACAAAACAGGGGCCCTACACTACACGATCGCCATGTGTTTTAGCGTCAGGTAATGCAACATTCTTTCCTTCATCTATACTCGGTTATACTGTACTAGGTCTACTTACTTTTGGGGAAGAAATCTGCTTGTAAGTTGTAGCCTAACGTTAGTTGGAAATACCAAACGCACGGTGTATGTTGTAGGTATACGGCGCCGATGCATGGTAGCCGATCGCGATGGATCGACCCGTACCCGTGCACTTTTCACTTTTGTGAAGCCCGCCCTCTGTCATTCAAATCCAGCCAATACTTCTACTTCTACTACTTCTATGCAGCTACTAATACAGCCTTTTCAGCAACTTAACGAGGACTGTGGTGTGCTGTCTCAAATGGTGGACACTTGTGCAGGGTGCTCTGATATATGTATATACAAAGTTGGTGCGAGTAAAAAGTCAGCTCCTATGATCTAGGCGCTGATGGCTCCCTTGAAGTGCTCCACAGTGGGCAGCTCAATGATGTCTTGGGGGAGCGCATCCCAGTCCCGCAAAGTTCTTGGAAAGAAGCTTTGCCTGTAGTTGTCAGAACGGGAGCTGAGTTGCATGAATCTGTGTTGATGTTGTTGCCGTGTTGTAGTCTGGGATTGATATATAGCTATTTGATTATGGACAGCTTTGTAGACCATGGTTATGCGCGCTGGCATGCGCCTCTCCTCCAAAAGTGGAGTGCGGGAGCCCTAGATCTTCTCTCATTCTCGTAATAACGCTGGCATCACGATGGTAGTTTCCGCATATAAAGCGTACTGCCCTTCTCTGATTTTTTTCGAGATAGTCAATTTGATTTTGTCTGTATAGGGATCCCAGATGATGGAGGCATATTCCAATTGCGATCATACAAGTGAAGGGTACGTAGGCCTGTTGTTTGATGTGTGATGAGCATTTGCTGGATGATAGGCTGTTTCTTTCTGTCCTCATAGTAGTTGAAATTCATCTCAGTGCCATTCGTCTGCCCACGTTTTAAGCTGTCAAGATCTTTTTGTAACTTAGTAGCACCATCTGTTGTTTTGATTTGCCTGAAGAGAAGACAGTCATCAGTGAACAGCTTAATGGTTGAGTCTATCTTGTCCCCGATGTCGTTGATATACAGTAGGACCGAACATCAACGGTCCCAGCACTGTTCCCTGAGAATCAACATGTACTGTTAAGGATGCTTCTCCATCAACCACTACTTTCTGTGTTGTGGTAAGCCAAGTATTGATCCATGCATTGGTCATATCTCTTACTCCGTAATATTCAATCTTCTTCAGTAAACGTTGATGGGCTATATGCAGTGTCAAACGCCTTCGAAAAGTCAAGTATCCGAACATCTGTTTGAATGCTGTTATCCGAGAGATCTTGTGATTTCCTCCAAGGTGTTGACAAGCTGGGATTCGGTAGAGTGTTGTTGTCGAAATCCATGTTGGTACTGGGCAAGTAGTTGACGATCGTCAATGTGCTCCATAATAGAGTGATAAATTGTGTGCTCCATTAACTTGGTGATGACACACGTCAATGAGAAAGGGCGATAATTGCTGGGAAGGTTCCTGTTTCCCTTTTTGTGGATTGCAACAATATGGGTTGTCAGCCAGTCTTTTGGCAATGTGCCCGTCTCATTATGACTGAGTGAAAATCGCTTGTAGGATCGGCGCACTCTGCTTTGCTGTTTCTCTCATGACACGGATAGGGATAAGATCTGGTCCGCATGCCTAATACGGGGATTCAACTTGCTCAGGAGCTTCTCAATTCCATCAGTGCCAACGGTGATGTCTGTCATTGCCGGGTGTGGACTTTTCCCTTTTTCAGGTAAACATGTGGTATTTTCTTGTGTAAACACGGATTGATATTGACTGTCCAGTACCTCTGCCTTGTCTTTGCCGGTGGTTGCAAGTCCAGACTCGGTTTTTAAAGTGCGTATATGCCTCCACTGTCCGTCTTCTGGCTGTTGATACATTGAACAAACTTTCTGTTCTGTGATTCCGTTATTGTGTTTTCAAGAATGCCCCCACATTGTCTTCATTATGCTTTTTTCATGTGTTGCTTGACTTTCTTGCGCATATCTCTAAACTCTTGCCAGATATTCCCATTGTTGTTTTTCTTTGCCTTCTTCCATACCCTTTTCTTCTTTCTGATCAGCCTTTTGTGAGTTTTGATGATGGTAGTATTCATCCATGGGACATCTTGCCACGAGGAAAGCTTTTTTCTGAGGTGTGAACGTATCCATTGCTTCAAAAATCTTTCCTTTGAACATAGTCCAGTTTGTTTCTACGTTTCTCTCCATTGGTTGAGACTAGAGGTATCGATCTTTAAAACCTTCCATTTCCTTGCGCTGTCCATCCATGTCTCTTTTTTTGTAGACATACACTAACCCTTGTTCTTGGGGTTTTTTTTCCGGCCATATTTTACAGTTGTGTCAAGATGTAATGTAACTGCATCATGGTCTGATATTCTTGGCGCAGTTTCAATCTGCTTTACTTGATCTGGTAAGGTGGTAAGAACAAAATCAAGGATATTCTCGCCGCGTGATGGAATGTGCTGCATTTTAGAAAGCATATTATCATTGGCCATGTCGAGTAAAGTCTGATTGATTCGTTTTAGTACCTCTAATAATGGTGTTATTTTCCCAATTGATGTGCGGCATGTTGAAGTCACCCGTCAGTATTATGTTAGGTAATGTTGACCTCCCTGTCAGTTTCTTAAGTACTTCGTCTAATTTCACAAGGGCCAGTGGGTCATCGTTGGTAGGCCGGTAGAATGAACCTATGTAGAGCAGCTGCCACTATGAACATCTGATCCTTAAATTTTCATCAAAAGTGCACTTCTCCTTGAAAAAAAAAAACTTTAATAAGAGATGTTTCACGGATATTTACATGGGGCTTGTCCTGTAAGGGTTTTTTCACGGTATTTTTTAATGACCCTGGCCACTGAGGATTATCATTGATTATACATAACGGTACACTGTGTGCATAGTTAAACAAAGGACTTTCTTAGGGGTGTTTTCACGGACTCCTTATCTGGCATAATATGTTGAAAAATTCGTGACAATTTAGTTAAGTGTAATTTCAAGGAAAAATGGCTCTTTGACAAATTTTAAGAGATGAAGATGTTCATGCTTACCAGCAAAGAGGATCTTTACCCATATTGCCTCGCACTCTGTATCCATACTGTCTTCTTGCACAGCCAAAAGGTCTTTCCTTACTCCAACAAAAAAAAACACCTCCACATTTGTTTCTGTCCTTCCGAAAAATGTCGTGGCTGCTAGGAGGTACTTCACTTGTAAGATGATATTTGTCCAAGTGAGTCTCTGTGCCAGACACTCTATCAGGGTCTTCCTGATCAAAGAGGGCTTGCAGCTCACGTTGTTTCCTACTCATTATACTTCGGCAGTTTACAAGCAATACTTTCAGTTGTCTAAACTTTGGTTTTTGTTTGGGTCGTTCAGTTTCATTTTCCGTAGAACCGTTATAACAGGTTGAAAAAGAGTCTTCATTGAGATTTCAATAATCCAAACTATTGTACAAGCTATGCCATTAATTCAATCAGTATAACTCCCTGACCTTGAAGTAGTTTTTGTTCAAGCAATATCTTTTTCTTCAAGATTTGGCTTTCTATGTGGGTTCATGCGTTTGCTGAGCTCTGTGACATTAGTAAAGGAACCTCACACTTATGAAAGCATTAATTATGATCGCGCTATAAAATTGTCTCCTCTCTTGTAATGCAAAAGTTCCTCTCAAAAAAACACAAACACCCCTCTCGCAATAATAAAAAGGTGACCCTCTCGAGATGAAAAATTGGCAATCCGCACAATAGTGCTCCTCTCCGATAACTTCTCGAGATGGGAAAACTACGGCGCTCCATGAGTGCCATCCACTTCTTTATTTACTCGGATAATTTATCACGTCATGTTGACATATCGCCGAGAGCAAGGCGACTTAATCACATAATTGTATCGCTAAGTCGACTTACCGAAGTCGACTTGGTGACTTGTCCAGATGCATTATCTCTCCAAGTCGACTTCCAGAAGTCGACATGACGACTTGTCCAGAGGCATTATCTCTCCAAGTCGTCTTCCATAAGTCGACATGACGACTTGTCCAGATGTATTATCTCGTCAAGTCGACTTTCCGAAGTCGAGATGACGACTTGTCCAGATGTATTATCTCGCCAAGTTGACTTCTCGAAGTCGAGATGACGACTTGTCCAGATGAAATATCTCGCTAAGTCGACTTCCTGAAGTCGAGATGACAACTTGTCGAGATAAATTATCTTGCCAAGTCGACTTACGATGTGGAGATGATGACATGCAAAAATCTCGTTCTGCATGGATATTCCGTTTTTGAAGCACTGTCGTGGATTCTTTCTTGTTCGTCGGTGCATTTGAGGTTTTCCCCACCCGTTCTTATATATGAACAATAAACTGGCAGAGGAACAAGAGATAAACTGTAGGGTATTGATTTGATCTGGGTCAAGTTAATTTTTTTTTTTCATCTTGTTTTAAATTACTCCCCCAAGCTTCGTAGGAAATCACACCTCTGCCTTGTTTTCCCCTATTTATCCCGTTGAAAAGTAATTCACTTCACGTTAAACATTAACAATCATAAATTCACATAAATGTCTTTATTGACAGGTTGCATAAAACTTGTTGCTTTCTTAAATGACACTAACAAATTCAAGATTTGCTTTTAATCATATTGAGATCATATTTCAGATAAAACGACTCTCATGGCTTAAATTGGAATATCGGGAAATTAGCAAAACTCTTGTCTGATATATTACGAGAAATGATTAGATAAAGATATCACTATAAAAACTCCTATTGTCAACACTAAATCAATGTTTTATAAAGGACATTAGCTTATGATTAGCCTTAGCACACTAAAATCACACTGTGATCATCACATTATGATAAAGTTCTGTTCCTAGCAATATAGAAGTTGTTCACTTTTGAATGAGACATCGGCCTCAATATTACTGTGACGTTATTCTGATGTCATGAAGTATGAAATTACAAGCGATTTTAGATCACAAATCGACCTAAATCGTTAAGGCTGAGAAAATCCCTCGGGAAGAATGAAATTTTGTCAAACATGTAATTCAAATTCCCAAGAACCTAAACAATTTCCCTATTAAGGCAAATGACAAATTTTTGTTCATTTCAAGATTTTAAACGGGGAGCGCAGGGCGGGGGGGGGGGGGGGGTATGGCACGGGCATTCGTTG